ATCAGGTGTGGCTGCCTTGCCTAAGTAGAAAGTGGCTGGCAAGAGTCTGCACTGCAGCCATTTACAAGATGTGGATCTGTTTCCTATGTTTTCCAATGCAAGACAAGGTGCAGCTGATCTCAGAAAAGCTTGGGGTTAGGGAAGTATAAAGCAACTGGAATTCTTTTTTACATTTACATTCCTGAATAGGTGACTTAAATGCAAATTCACAGATTCAAAGTCTATTGAGCAAGGAGAAGAGAAGGTGACATTCCTTTTAGAATTGTCTCCATCAGCCACTGCATGGCTTTATTTTGAGGTGAGGGGTTTTCAGGCCTTCCTAGTATCTTTTCTGAGCAAGAATTTTTGCCTCTTCACGGAGGCATCCGTTGACTTATTTTTGTGTTTTGAGTTTTTTCTCTCTTTTTCTTTTTAACTACTTATTACTATTCTTTTTAAAACATCGATTAGTAAGATAATGGGTCACTTATTCACAGGTTTTCCCTCTGACTTTAGAACTGTGTCGGGAGAAAAACTGGCTGCAGACTTGAGGTCTCTGTTCTCTCTCATCTGTTTTATCACCAACACAGAGGAATTTATATAGCAATAAACATGTACTGTGTAGAATTGTTCTGTTAGGTGGTGTTTAAAGTATAATTTAGGCTTTTATGGGAGTTCCTTTCTTGGAGACTCCGGTGACCACAATTATACCTAAGATCCAAGATCAGACACCATGACATCAGACTAGAATATCTACAGAACATCACAATCTGTGACAAGAAATACAGATATTTGGAAAGAATAAAAAGCCAAAAAGAGATGGAGTATCCTAGTTGAGAGACCACATGGGAGCTGGGCAACAGTCCACGCCGACCACGCCTTCTGGGAGACATTCTGGTCAGCCTGCTGTAAGATGGCCATGGCCATTCAGAAGAGAGTATGGCCACAGGCCACATCTTACTTAACCGTCAGCAATGACACAATCCACCTAAAGGGACTGAGCAACTCCATATTTGGGAAATAACAGAGGGCACCCAATTAGCACCCTCCACAGAGAACTGATCATTGACCTGACCACCCTAACCCCTGCTTAAAAAATATTGCCTAAGACTTCCTCATTTGTGACGTCCCCTTCCTAGTGCCTCCCTCTAGCCTGGAACTGCGGAATTTCGCCTGAGAGCTGGTAATAAACTCCTTTGTTTCACTTCAGCTGGTTCTCCATGGCCTTTTTACCTCACACTAGTGTCTGCAGCTGGGATATTTGATAGACTGACGCAGGAGAGGTGTCTTCTGTGAATGTTTAACTATGATAGAAGAGGCACTGTTACAGCTAGATTTTTTTTAAATCATTCCCTTGTAGTTGTGGGACTCCAACACCATTTGGGAAACGCTTCCCTTTCTACTCTCATTCACAGCTGTCTTCTGAAAAATTGGAAATAAGAATTTGACAGTTTGAGGAAGTCAAACTTAAGCAAATTTCTAAAGATGTTTAGCCCCAGCATCTCTTAATAGACAGTAAAAAGTAGTTTATTAACAGATCACTACTATATTAAACTTTTCTAAAGACAAAAACACCTAGAACTGTGCAAGGAAATAGAACTATTCCTTTCAATTATATGGCAGCTTCTTGGAAACTGAACTGTTCAGTGACCTTTTTCTGT